AAGACCCAGGCAGTTTCCCTGCCTAGAAGGGAATCTGTCCCTTGTATTCCTTTGCTAAAAAACCCTATTTTGATGGAGTTTTATCTGTGCCTTGGTGCCTCATCCTCCATTAGCTCGTTCTCTGCCAACTTTTTACCTATCACATGCAACCTCGGTTTTTTTTGGTGTCTGGCTATGTAGGGTCCAAGCTGCAGGATCCTGAATGAGCACCCCTCACACACTGTCCTCATGTGCCTCACAGGCCTCACTGTGTCCCACCATCTTCACACATGCCAAACAGGATCCAGGAATCAGCGCTTGCCCTCTGCCAGAAGAGCAAGGGGCGGGACTTCCCAAAAGGGGTGAACTATCTATGAGTGCTTCCTGCTTTGAGTTCAAAAGACTTACTTAGGTTCTTATAAGACAAGATCAAATTCTGAATATTTTTTTCCAATGAGAAGGATGACAATTTCAAAAACCAATAATCCTCATGTCTCTTTATCTTCTTTAATGTGACAAATCCCAATTTCATTTAGTAATTTCCTTATCCAATAGCAGTTAATCGACATTCTTGGCTGGAGATTACAGCCTCCTGATTTAGAATTTCCCTCTATTTTCTTTAAGGCCCTGAACTGTGAATGGTTTCCTTTGGCACAGGATTCATGTTAATGTCACCAAGAGTGATAACGCTAATAATAATCACACTGAAATAACAATAGCAGCAGTATTTACTGTGTACCAGGCATTTTTCTAATCAGTTTGCTGAGTTACCTCTTTTGTCTCAAAACCTGTTCTGATCCCCAGTGTGAACTGAGAAAACAGATGTAGATACTAAGTGGTGGGGCTGTAATTTGCACCCAAGTCTGACTAATAGAACAGATGATCCTTCCAACCACTGTCCTCCAGGGCCTTCAGGGACCCCTTTCCTCTCCATGTGACACAGGATGGTCACACAGGATGGACCCAAAGGAAGGATTCCCAGATCAAAGACCAAGCTTTAAATTTCAACTCTGCCAATGTCTATTTGGGCGAATTATTTACTCCTCATCATCCTCTTAATTTCTAAAAGAAGGGAAATAATCCGTCTTCATGCAGTTCTGGTTAAGAAGGAAATAAGAAAGAGCAAGGGTTTAGACACAGTGTTCACCTGGCAACAGACATTTTTCGTGTTGCATTTTCAGTCATTTCATCGTATTGTCTCCCATCCCATGCAGAAGGCCTGCTCATTTCTCCTACAGTACTCCCACTGGAAACCAATTTCGACTTCTGGAATTCATTATGCACTGATTTGCAGACAATAACAGGGAGCTCACAGAAGTAACAGGAAAACAAAACTAATTTGAGGAACAGCATCCCAGAAAATTGCTCAGAGGATATTACAAGCATAGCACCTTTCCTGGATCTCTATTTTTCTTTATCCTCATTTTTTTAAGGTTTCATTTCTCTCCTGATGACAATGTCAGATGCTTCCTTGTGACAGGCAAGGAACTCATATTTCTGTCAAGTGAAAGAGACTTCCTGAGTCTTGGTGACCACTGCTTCCGTGCATATGCTGTCTGTTCCACCCAAACTGGCCCTGTTCCCTATTTCCTAGCTGGAAGCCTTGGATACCTGGCCGTGCCTGTGAGCTGAGGTGCTGGAGCAAACTCTCTCAGCTGTCTCCTGGTGATACCTGCTCACACAGTGCCCTTTTCATAAAACTCTGCCCTCTCCCTGAAGCTTATCTGTTGCTTCCAACAGAACCCTGTGCTTCAAGACCCTGTTTCCTGTTGAGACGGCCTCATAGTCATTATCATCTCATGACATGCTTATGGTTATAGAACTGGACCCAAAAGAACATAATCCATTCAGACGATAAACAGTTAGATTTTCATTTAATTAAGGGGGACAAGTGTAACAAGTTGTCATACCCCAGCCTTGAAACTTTGGAGCACACAGAAGCTGCATCTTTTCCCAGCCCAACACTTTCTACATCCTATACAAAGCCACAATAGCCAGGCCTGCTAGAAACAACAGAAGAAAGGAAAGCTTTTGTTTTTTGGTTTGTTTTCTGTCTAATCTTCCCTCCTGATTAATTGCTGTTTTCGCATATCTGAATAATTACTGAAGACTCAACACTCAGATATCAGTGAGGAAGTTCCTGGTATAGAGCCAGGTAACAAAGTAGAGGAGAAAGAAGAGAATGAAGCTCTACAGCTGTGGTGGCAATGGGGAGGAGACCAGATGGTGAAAAAGAAGGGGGTTGTTAGGAGCTGCTCCAGTACAGATCTCACTAAACGTCATGCAGGATTAGGGAAGCTCACCCCCCAACGGTTGCCCTTGACTCTCCTGAACCCCATCCTAGCCCACACCAGGAATGGATGTAGGGGCTACACACCCCAGCCCCCTGGGTATGGCTGCTCTGGGCATCTCTTTCTAATAAAAGTTAAGAACAATGGCTGCTTTTGCAGACGATCCAGATTCAATTCCCAGCACCAAAATGGCACCTAAAAATCATCTGTAACTCCAGTTTCAGGGGATCCAACGTCCTCTTCTGACCTCCTTTGTCACTGCATGACACGGGTGCACTTACCTACTTGCAGGCAATACACTCATACACATAAAATAAAAATAATAAATATTTGTAAAAAGAAAATTGTTTTAATAAGCAGTCAAGTGTGGTTGGTAGTGCATTCCTGTTCAGCACTAGAAAGTTGAAGCCCGAGAATCACCACTAGTTCAAGGCCAGCCTGGACTACCTAATATCAAAAGCAAAACAAAAAATTTAAATAAATATGTATGTGCTTCCCCATTCAAGTATGAAACTTCAGAGAAACTTGGGGTTTGGGAGGCAAATAAAGAAATGAGTAAAGTATGGAGAGAAGAGACACAGAGACGGAGAAGCCAGGAAACAAAGACGATTCTGAGGACCAAGCCTTGCTAGGAACTCACAGAAATCTTCAAAGCAGCTCAGGATTTTAGCATAAATCTGAGCTCTGAAATAAATATACAATGAAAAATGCATGAAAAAAATCCCTATGTGTTAAAATGAGGTCGTATTTCTAGACTTTTCTACAAGAAGGCTGAGCTGGCTGCATGGTGATTGCTTGTAGGAACTCTTAGCACCCTTCATCCTGCTGAGCCCCCCTGGGTGTGCTCTGGGGAGCACACCTCAATCTCCTAGGCCCTCTACTGCCAGCTACACATCACCAGTGTGAGGCATTGAAGGAGACAGGGGGTACTCATGCTCAGGTGCTGACCATGAATTTACCCACCTCTCCACCGTCCACCCCTACCTACCCTTGGTGGTGGGGCGGGGAGCTTAAACTTTGTGCTCTTTGCACTTTACTTACCTCATTCAATAGTAACTTGGGGGAAGAAATAAGAAATTCTTCTGAATACAGGAAAGCCCTACAGAGAAGACAACAGTACAGAGACTACCATAGTAACCAAAATTACCTGGAATTCTCCATTTCTCGCCTGACCAGCCCCCATCCTCACAACAACAGTCTACTCTGAGGTGAGCTACAACATCAGAGAAATATAACATGATGGTACCAATTTAAAAAAAAAAAAAAACTATTCCACCTGGAAATACTACTGGATGAAGCAATTTACTAGGTCATTATAAATGCAATATTGCTATGTACAAATCATATGCAAATATGAACAGCATCCTCCACAGGGATAAGTTTTGCTTTGCTTCCTCTGGTTTTTAAGCAAACCCAATTTGGCAAATGAAAATAGAAAGGACTCTGTGGGTGAGCTGTAATACGTTTATGCACCTCGTCATCTCTACCCAGGCCCTGAAAGTACTCCCAACCTTAATGCTTCTTGTGTCCTGGAAATGAGCTAACTCCCACTGGTGAAATTCAAAGGCATTCCCTCCTCTGTCCCTAGGAACCTGGGTGGTAAATGACCCCTGCAGACCACAGATTGGGCAGCCACAGGTGGGCCTGATGACTGGACTGTCACATGTGGTAACTGTTAGTACAGCAGTTCCCCACCCTTTACCTTCCTTCGGCTCTCCCATGCCCACTCTGTCCAAGTATTTTTAGAATAAAACAATAATTTAAAAAATACAGAGAAAACTGTGGTAGGCAAAGGGTTACAAGAAACTCAAAAGTTGAATTCCCCCCCCACCTTTACAAACATTTGTTTCCTGCTATAAACAAGAATACCACATAGGTAGGGGGCTAGCACTTACATTTAGAAAAAAAATCTAAAGGAACATTTTTAAGCCTTTTTAAGCCTTTTGGGGAGATAGAAGTTTTGAGGAAAGTGGGAGGATGATAGAGCATAGGACCTGAAGGCAGTAAGGGATATTGAAGGGTGGAGAGGTAAAGAGGGGGGTGGGGGAATAGGGGACTATCAGAGCTGAACGGGTAGAGGGGTTATATGGGGAAGGGGTGAATAGGGAGAAGAGGATCAGCAAAAGCAAATTGTGCATGAAAATTCTGTAATAAAACTTATTACTTTGTATACTATTTTTACTGTCTCCCTGTAGCCCCAGCTGGCTTGGAACTCACTATGTAGACCAGGCTGGCCTGGATCTCACAGAGATCCACCTGCCTCTACCTCCCTAATGCTAGGATTAAAGGCGTGTGCCACCATGCCCAGCGGTCATCTTTTTTTTTCAAAGAAAAGGATGGGGTTGTAGAGACAGAACAGTGGGTAAAGCACTGATCACAGAAGCCCAAGGACCCATGACAAAAGACGGGTGTGGTGGCATCTATAATCCCAGTACTGTGTGGGGTGGAGGCTAGTGGATCCCCAGGGCTAGGTGGCCAGTCAACCTAGTTTTGGGTTCAGTAACAGACCCTGTATCAAAAAAAGAGAGTGACGAGCAAGTGAGGAAGGTACTTGACATCGACCTCTGGTCTCCACATGTATGTGCGTGTATACACACACACGCACACACACACACACACACACAAGGAAACAAACAATAACAGCGAAAACCTGAGTCTAGCAAGCTACCATTTTCATTCCTTCTGGAGCATGCAGCCCACCTGCTTTGCTTTCAGGCCTTGGTCACTTACCCGAGCAGGGAAGAACCAGAAGAACAGGTTGCTGTTGTAACTCTTGTTCACCGTGAGGTAGCCTGAGTAACTCCTCACATCCACTCCTGCTCCTGGGAAGGGGCTGACAACACTCATTTTTTTCCCTAGTGAAGAGAAAGAAAATTTACCCAAAGATTAGAGAAAAACGGCCTGTGCATCTACTCAGGTGGAGGGTGAGGAATGTCCCCCCAGCAACTAAGTCAGGATGAGGGGCTATAAGGAGCTTGGCTTGAGACACTCATAGCAGCAACTTCTGGCTTTCTTGGTCTGGTCCCAAGGATACACCATTCACAATTCAGACAAGGACAAGAGAAATTGTAGAGCCCTTAGGAGGCCAGAATGTAAAAGTCTATAGCTAAGATCACTTGTCCTTGTTTTGTTTTGTGTTTTTAGGAACAAAGGAAAACCACCCATGATTTTGCCTTGAGTAACCCAAGGTATTCACTGGGCACTATCTGGAAAGGGGCAGGTGGTAGGGTGCAAGGAAACAAAGCAAGCCGGCAGCTCAGCATCCCAGGGCAGCCCCTGTGTCCCACCTTCTGTTTTCCTGAAGGCAAGTCAGCCAATCTCATAAAAGTAGTAGATCTCTGAGGCCTGTAGGGATCAGGGCAGAGGTAAGAGTAGGCACTGAGCCTGGGGTAACCTCATAGCTACCCAGGAAGCCAAGTAGGGCAGGGAGAGTTGAAGAAGACACAGACCCTGGCTTTCTTATGCCAGTAAAGGGACAGGGAAGGAGAAAGAGGGCATGCTTAGACAGCTGAGGGCACCTTGGACTAGATAATGCTAATAGAAGCTAACACAAGTCACTGTACCAAGGGCTTTGCATTATATGGGAGAATTAATTCTTATCCTTGATTTATAGAAGCACAGAAAGGTTAAGTAACAGACCCAACGTCTCGTAGCTGGAAATGGAGAACTGAGACATACCCAGCAGCTGCAGTTGGGCTGTAGGGATGCTCCTTCCCCACATGCTGCAGGACCTTTAGACTACACTGAGTCAAAAGGTAGACCTGACAAGAAGTGGGAAGAGAATTAGTATTGAGGAAGGGAGAGGAGAAGGAACAGGAAGGAGGAAGCAGGGTGAGCAGAGTCTTCTGATCAGTTACTCATATGAACGCACAACAATGGTGACCAGCATGCACAAGACCCATGCAAACATAAACCAAACAAAATCGCAGCATTGTTAAGAGTTTTAACTCTCCCAGGTTAGAACTCTCTCCTGGGTTAATGTTAGGATTAGGAGTTGAAAGGTAAGAAAGAAAAGCAACCAACCTCATGTACTCAAACTGACCTTTATTAATCCATGAGCAGCGACCACTGATCAGCAAAAGTCTGCAGTAGCCACAGAGCCAAACAACAGGGCCAAACAAAGTACCTTTGTATATGTAAATAGAGTTATGGGGGTTGGGTAGAGGATCTAGGGCCTGCATTCTTTCCCAGATAAGGGCCTCAGAAAGTCTTGGTTATAGAACTTTTTTTGTGGGAGTTATGGGGTTCCAGACAGGCTTACTTGCACGACAAGAAATGCTTTATGGTTTGGGGCTAATGGAGGTCTCCCTTCAAGTATAGACATGGGAAAAGTAGGTAAGAAATCCCAACACAACCTAAGGTATTTTTAGCAACTGATGGCTGGTGGGAGGGGCAAAGACATTGTTTTACAGGGATTGAACTCTTGGTAGGCTAATCAGGTGCCAATGTATGGACCCAAACTGAAGGACATTTGAGGACAAAAATTAGTCTATAGGCCATATTATATAAATAGGTGCATCCCTTGATGCCCCCACATCCAAAGCTGTCAAGAAAGGCCATCTTAGGGACTTGGGAGATAGCTCAGCTGGTTATGTGTTTGCCTAGAAAGCATGAGCACCTGAGTTCAATCCCCAAGTCATTTATCAAAAATCATATTCTGGAGTGGGAATTTATAATCCCAGTGCTGGAGAGGAAGAGACAGGAGGATCCCTGAAGCTTGCTGGCCAAGCAGACTAGCCAAATCAGTGAGTTCCAGGCGAGTGCGAGACCCTAAAGAGGAGGTATCACTAAGGATGGCACCCAGGATGCCCTCTGGCCTCCACATGAACACATAAACACACACAGAGGCAGGTGCACCTGTGCACATGTGTGCATCTGCACACACACATGAACACACACACATTAAAGAAACTTAGAAAAAGAGAATCTGGCTTGCACAGAGCACAGTTACTATCATAGTCTGCAAAATGCAAGTAACAATTAAGACCACGAAGCCCCTGGGAATGGAGCGTCAAGAACAAAAAAAATAAGGGTCTCAATGGGCAGTGGTCTGAGAGTCCAGCTGGGGTGTCACAGCAGAATGTGGGCTTGCTGGTCAGGCGAATCTGGGTTTGTAAACTTAACTCAGTCCTCCCAAGAGTTGCTTTATCTTTGAGCCTTTCTTCCCATCTATGCAAATGTGGGCACCAATCACTCACATTTGTCGGGAGGAACAGCAAAAAGTGCTTAGAAATATGACCAGGAGAGAACTGGACATAAAATGAGATTTCAGTCAATGGAGGTAGGATCTCCTTAGCCCAAGGACCACCTCAACCAAAGCCTGGAAGTTCAGAAGATCTGCCTTTTCTGGCTCTGCCCACTTCTCCCAGGCAGGATTGCTGGGCTGCAATGCCACAATTCTGCAAACAATTCTGCCCACTGTCTTCCCAATGACCCTTTGCCCCTCTAGCTGTGTGTGAATGTCCCCATCGAAACTCATGCTGGATTTCAGTTATCAGTTTTAGGTATCAAGAGGGCTGAAAGTCAGTCAGACCATGGTTTAAGAGCTGGTCTTTGAGAGGTGGTAAAAGTTTAAAGAGACCATCAGGATGAGGCCCTGGTTCAAAGGAGCTATGATTTTATAAGAGGAGGAGTCCTAAGCCAGAACCTTCTATATCACCATGATGCCCTGCACTGTTTCAGGACTCTGTAGGAATGACCTCACCAGATCCAGTTCCTGGTCTTGAACTCCCCTGCCTTTAGAAGCTGAATAAACCTTCATTGTTTGTAAACTACTTGGTCTTGATTATCAGGCACAGTAACAGAAAATGGGCTAACATCCTCACCCTGGGAAATGACAAAGGGGGTATATTTGAAGAGAAAGAAAAGAATGGTGTCTGGGAAGGTGATGCTCACTGGTCTGCCTCCACTGCCACTCTCCGCCAGCTGTCATTTCTTCTTCTATTTCTACTCTCAATCCAAGGATTAGAAAAGCTTTTAAATGCCTCTACAATGTCTTCAGCAAAACCATTTAATCCTCTCACCATCAGGGATATATCCACCTCCGCAAAAGGAGGATAAAGAAGTAAAAACTGAGGTCTGGAAACGGGTGAGGAGCTGACCAGAGGATAGTAGGCCAGGGGATTTGAGAAAGAAGACAGAGAGAAATGAGAGCAGTCAAAATGTAATAGGAAATATATAACAGAAAGGAGCTGGAGAGAATGGAATATGGGCAAGAGATGATCGAATCAATCTGTCTCTGATGCCAGCTCAGTGCAGCATCTGTAAGCAGGCCCAACTGGTCCAGCTGCTCACAAATCCCTGCCTTTCTGGGATGCCAAGTTTGCTTCTAGGCTAACTTGTTCTCAGGCACATTCCATCTTTTCCTGGCTCTAGCAGGAGCCCTTAAGAAGCAGAAAATGTGTCTAACTTAATCTCTGAACTCCCGGGACTTAATATGCTGGTTCACACACTTAAGACACTCAATAAATAATTTTTAATGAATGAATGTTAATGAACAAGCAGATAAATGAGAAAAATGAATGGGCAGGCAACACTGAGGCTGCAACAGGGTTAGCTTATTTCTACAAAACCCCTTCAGGAAGACAGACCTTGTCAGTACCTTAATAAATTTGAAGATTCTTTCCTCTACTCTGTAAAAGAGAATTTTGCCCCAGTCTACATTTTAAATTCTCATTCACCTAATCACAGTAAAATAATCAAAAGTTCTCTCAACTAACATGTTTTCCAAAAATATTTTTGAGTGTGCTGCTCATCCTTCACCCTGAGTCTATTAACAGAACATGGAAAGCAAGCCAAGACGCAGTAGTTTTTATCTTTCTGGCACTATGACTCACGATATGAATGTTTAAAAACATTTTAAAGTGGAAAAGGTTTTCTTTGAAGAGAGCTCTCTTCCTCCTTAATGTTTGCTGCTGCCAGTGTCCGTGGTATTAACATTTTGAAAATGATTGGAGTGGAGCCACAAAAGGGTTTGAACCAGTGAACTGGGGTGTACATTAGAACAAGTATTCCAGTCACCCGCAGTGTAGACAGCATACTACCAGCCCCCAAGTAATAACAAAATAGAACCTAACAGCAAAATATTCTTTAAACTTTGTAAAAATATGCCATTTGCAAACACTCTAAAATTTGCCTTCTGTATTCATTTTGTTTCATAATGTAAGAATTTATTCTAACCAGAGAAAGTAAACATGCAATTACAATTACATAAAATTAAGACTGCTAATTGAGGATTAAACAAATTAAAATTCCCCTTGTGTTTCTGTGAACTACTTTTAATCTCAAAAATGATTCACTTGTGACCTAAGATTCATGTTCCTACAGCTCTGACAGACTCCATAAACAAAGGATTCAGCAGAGCAAGCTGACCATCTGTCCAGAGCTTCCTGAACTTTCGCTAAATTAGATGAATAAAATTATCCTTAATTATGTTGTCAGGCGGCATGTGAGTCCCCAGATGTACCAGCCTTTGGATCCAATTCTCCACTAAAATTCCACTTGGAGATCACATAGCTTTAGAAGGGACATTGCATATGAGCTATTTTCTCAAACGCTGCCATCCATGGTTGAAGATCTACCTAGCTTGCACCAAAGGACAGAAGGCAAAACTCTCTCCTTTACCGCTTATGCCCACAACTGTGGAATGTCCCTAAAGGAGAAACACAAGGGGTGAGGCCAACCTCTCCATGGATTCCACAATACTCCTTTCGTTTGGCTCTGCCACTCATACACAGCCGCTCTGACTTCATGCCTCAGTATAGTTGTCTCCCTCATTCATTATGCACACAGACTCTTCTGGGTTCCTCCAGATCTTACCCACAGCCTTGAGTTAGGAACTGGTCACATGGTACAGTGGTTCACAGTAGGGCTGGCAGGCACAGGTTATGATTTCAGCCCTGTCCCTTACTAGTTTAGCTTAGAGCCCCATTTTTCTCATCTAGAAAATGGGAACAATAATTATGTGCTCTTTGTTAGAGTGGCTCTGGGATATAGTTAAGTATTCATCAGTGTGCTGGATAGTTTTGTTGTCAGCCTGGGTAGAGGGAACCTCAATTGGGGAATTGTCTCCACTGGACTGGACTGTGGCCATGTCTGTGGAGTATTTTCTTGATTGTTGAGTGATGGAGGAGGGCCCAGTCTACTGTGGGCAGTGCCACCCCTGGGCAGGTGGTTGTGTACAAGAAAGCAGGTTGAGCACAAGCACAAGGAGCAAGCCAGTAAGCAGTGTTCCTCCACGGCCTGTGCTCCAGCTCCTGTCTCCAGGTTCCTGCCCTGAGTTCCTACCTTGGGCTCCCTGATGAGCTGCAACCTGGGAGATGTAAGCTGAATAAACCCTTTCCTCCTCAAGTTGGTACTGATCAGAATGTTTTGTCACAGCAATTGAAGGTGAACTAGAATAATCATTAATTATTTTTACTACCACTACTATTATTTCTCCCTGGATTATGTCAATGGATAGCTTCCTTCTGAAAAATTTTGGCATAGGTACCTCAGATCTAACACTTCGGTTTTATCTCTTAAATTTTTCTTATGTATTTGTGCATTTACTTCAGAAGACTACAGGTTTCTTAAACAGGTGGAAGTAGATTGTGTCAGGCAAAGCCAAGAGCAGAGGTCAGAAAAGCTGAGCCCCTCAGCAATCTCTGCTCCCTCATGTCTCTTCCTGCCCTTGTGCTGTGAGATGTCTGAGTCTCAATATCCTTGCACACAGGCTGGTAGAATTTGGTTATAATGACTGTTTCAACTCCTTTTGAGCGCCAAATTCTTGTTAATGAGCTGGCTCTCATCATCAGTCTTAATTTATTAAGGTGGTTGAACTGAGTGGTTGTGATCTGGTGCTGTGGGTTTGAGTTAATGATGTTTCCTCTATCAATACATCTTAAAAGATCATCTGGTATGATCAGCAAGCATCTTTCCAGGAGTTCTGTGCAGAAAGTTAAGCTGAGTGATCCATCAAATAGGCTGCCTCCATGATCAAGGTTTTCTCACCTTGTAGAAAAGAATTGGTAAAACTTGGAGCTATGTATATTTCAGGAGAAGACACACAGGTAAGATTCAAGCACACCCTTAAAACATGAGAATACCTCGATTTTAAAGAAAACAAAATGGGGGCTGGTGACAGACAGCTCAGCAGTTAGAAGCACTGGCTGCTCTTGCAGAAGATCTGGGTTCGGTTCCCAGCACCCACATGGCAGCTAAACAACTGTCCATTACTCCAGTTCCAGGGGATCCTACTCCTTCTTCTGACCTTTACAGGCACTGCAAGACATGGGTGCACTTATACACATGTAGGCAAAACACTTACACACATAAAATAAATAATTTTTTTTTAAAGAAACAGAAATGATAACATCCTACTGGCTCTGAGAACTCTTCAAATGAAAAAAAAATCTACTTTGTTGTAAACTTTCTAGTATTTAGACTTATTTTGTATCTTTAAAACCATCATTTCCCTGAAATGTCTGGTATCACATATTCTCAGGACCATGTAACCTACCAGCTGCACTAAGTACAAAACTTCAGGCTCCTGAGCAAGTGCTAAGACCTCAGCATCTCTCTAACTGCAGCAGCTCCTCAGACTCCACCTACTCCCATTCCTTCCATCAGCAAACATGCACTATCTGTCTCTTCTTTAAGACCCTGCCTTGACTCTTTTGTGTCTCTAGCCCAATTCTCTGCTTCTTTATAAAACCAGTTCTTCAAGGTTGCTGCCTGTGCATTTCTTTGTAGATTAGGGATCTACTGAGGTTCAGACAGATGAAGTCTTTTACCTCATAGTGACATATCAAAGCACATAGAAGCTTTAAAGCAGATGCAGGTCACACATTTTAGTCTGATCACACCAAATGAAACTTTTGTTCCTATTAACAATGCTAGACAAACCTACTCATAGTCTATACATAACGCCATTTGTAAGCACTAGATTTTCATAGCACTCTTGCAAGTTGGATAAGCTGTTAAATCTCCATCTTACTTAAACAAGGAAACTGAGTCTTTGGCTGTGGGTGAAATGCCAAGTAAGAGACACAGTAGAGTGAGTAAGGGAAGCCCTCTGAGTGCCAAGCCTGCATCTACCAGCTGGTGTCTGTGAACTTTGTCAGGTCCTTAGATTGCTTTATGCCTCGGTCTTCATATGTGGGCACAGCTCACTCTGTTGACAAGTGTGAATGAGTTCATGCAGAATACTCCATGGACATAGGAAAACCACTGGGTTAGCTTTAGCTTTGTCAATGCTGTCCTGCTGGGACACTCACTAGTTTCATGACGATAAATGCTGTAACTTGGTACCTAAATATTCTAACCCTGACTATTCATTTTAGCTTAAAACTCATAATATGGCACCAAATTATTAGTCTTTGAAATAAAACAACTGAATATAAATACTGAAATGTATTGTGCATCTTGGTGATAATTGCCTTTAAAAAAAACTGTTAAAAGTTTACCAGTGGGTTTCTGATTGAAACTTACCCTCCTTAGTCTTCCCAGCATGGATATAAGGGCTAAGAAATAAAGGTTTCCCTGCATCTCCCTTGAATGGCTTAGAAATCATGGCATTTCGGTACAAGGAGTGAAATAGTCCATCACCAGGGCAGACTGCCATCAGGATCAATGATATAACCTTCCACATGGCACCAACAATTTCTTGTGGTTCTGTAATGAAAGTAAAAATATCCCACAAATAAGTTGAAAGAGTCAATATTTGCTCAGTCCTTTTGCATGCAAGAAATCCATTCATTTCTTTAAAAAAATGTCCACTGTACAGTGTGCTTGGCCCTTTGGTTATCATTATGAGTAAAAAAAAACCCAATCATTGCTCCTTTTGACTTTAGCAACCAAGATGTCAATTCTGCAAGGGATGTACAAAGTAACTGGAAAGCAGTTAATATATTTTGAATTATGGTTGGAAAATAAATCCAATAAAGAATTAGACAAAGCCACAAACAACAAGGACTCTCTAAGTGGTCACTTAGTGAGTGTCCAACACCATTTCGCCAGTGCAGGAAGGCAGGGGATCCAGAAAATATTTCAGGTGGAATGAAATAGGAGTGCCTCACCAAGACGGATGTGACTAAAAGGGGATGGGGCTCAAACCTGAGAGAAAAACAGGAAAGACATCCCCTGTACATACAGGGGACGACATGAGCTAAGGTGAGACCTGACATCCAGTGCGCTTCGCAGGGAAATTAAAATAAGCTATGGATTTCTGGTATTACCTCTAACCCTTTTAAATCATCAGATTTTGTATTCAACAACAAGGCAGAAATACGAGATGGAGGGTCCTACACCTATTTTCAAGTCCCTCCCCTATTGCCATCTGATAAGTACACTCAAGAAATTAGGCCCCCTAGGGCACATGCTACTTGTAACCCTAGTCATGATACTTGTAATCCTAGTCCTTGGGGCGGGGAGGTAAGAAAAGCAAGAGTTCAGGGTCATCACTGGTTATATAATGAGTCCACATCACTGGCTATATAATGAGTTCACAGTATACATGAGATCCTGTCTCCAAAAACAAACAAACAAAAAACTGAAAGAAAAAATAAACGGAAGAAGGAAAAAATTAGCAACGATCTTCAAACACAATGTTTGCTGAGCATCCTCACCTGGCTAACCATGATAAGGACTTGAAAACATATGACCTGTCACCAAAACTTAACAGAAATGTCTAAAGTGTGTTTACGTGGGCTTTTCCATGTATATTTAGCTGATCTGAATCTGACAGTAACTCCACCAGGAAAGCAAGGATGGGTAAAACCCATGGTAGATAATGAAACTAGACTCAATGGGTTGTCTCACTCAAGGACGTAAAAGGAGAAAATCCAGGACCTGACTTCAGCGGCAGCCTGGATGTCGGGGACACTGGAGGCTTCTGTGAAGGGGTGCTTGCTACTTTCATCTAAGATCAACTTACCTTCTTTTCTTTTTGGCATTATATAGACTTTTTCAAATATTACATTAAAATGCTATTTCTCTTGATTATTAAGCTTTTGTGACACCTACATTTTCCACTGGAGGCAAGTTGTCCCTTGCCTGACCTTAATTCCAACCCCGCCAAGAGTATGACCACAGCTACACCAGCCAGTGCCATATGCTGCACCGTTGTTATTTAAGCAGGACTGATATTCTCAGCTCTGGTTTTGGCTTGAGTGATTTTTAGTGTTAGGGGTAGAAAGAACCCAGATTCCCGCATATGCCAGGCAAATACTCTGTCACTGAGCTGTAACCCCAGCAGCTAAATTCTAAACAAAATGTTGTTAAATGAATAAATACCCCCTTTTACTCTGGTGTCTGAATGTAAAATATATACAATAATGCAAATACAATGCCTGCTTTTGATTTTCAGTGTTTTAAAATGCCAAGCTATTAGAACAGCTTAAAAACACAAAATGTGCAAAAATCTATTAACCACATGTTTAACATAACCCAATTTAGCATAATACAAACATATCAGTTGTAGCAAATTTAAAAAGCATTTAAGCAACATTTCTCCATTGACGTAAGTGTTTATAATCACAATTTGATTGTATATATGACCCTTGTGGTGTATGTCAGGGTTAACTTAATAGAATTCCTGGTGCTTAATGTAAATATGCCCATCCAAATACAATATGGAGCTAAAAAATGACTTTGACTCTTATGACTATAATAAAGAACAAAATGAATTTAGAAACTGAAATTAAGTTCTCAAGAGGTTCAAGGGTAATGGCCACTATAGCACATTGTTCTTAATTATGTGAACTTGTTACACTGATGTTTTAATAGCATACCTACTTTTTGAAATCAACAATTCTACTTTGATTCAGAGAAAAAGAAACATCGTGCAAAAAAATAATGGAAGAAGCTTTTCCAGTAAGGGTTTTTTCCTCCCTGGGGGCAGAAACAAGAACCCGATGTTATTGTCTAATTTCTCAATCTTCCAGCAGCAAACCTGGAGCCCCTTTAATGGTACCATTAATATTTAAATAACCACTGTAGTCACAGTGCTGGCCTGGGTAGCAGAGGTTGACTCAAAAATGTAAAATAGAGGTAATATCTGGCTTGTTTTAATTAACATAAATTTAATAAATAAAAGTAAGAGCTGGGTCAGTTTAGTAGATCTCATTAACATTAATCAAATAACTACCACAGTTGCAGTTTCCTAGGTAGGTGAAGAAAGCAACAAGATACTGTAGTTCAGTCTCATTTAACACCGGAATTCCTCAACTTCTTAGCTAGCCGCTCCTGAGGGAGATGAAAATGATTATCATGGCTGGCAGCGCAGGTTCTTTTAAAACACCCTTCTCCAATGCTTTTGCTTAACTTAAATTAGACTAAACGTATTTATTAAACACTCACTCATTGAACACTTTCTAAACTAATAAACCCTATACTAGATAGAGTTTGTCTCCCACAGAAAGTAAAAAAAAAAATCTGTTGACCATACATTTCGTCATATTTGAAAAAATATGAAACCCTTGGTGTGAGTTCCCCTTTAAATAACAGTGAGGATTTAGACAAACAACCCTCTTAATACATGTTTAGAAACACAAAATCTAGCTGAAATAGAATCAAATAAATTTAAAGATACATGATTTGCTAAGATTGCTAAATATTACAGTTAGAATCCATGTGCACAACATACATTTTTTTATATTAAACAAAGCCATACATACCAACGTCCATAAAGATAATAAAATTCAACCATTTAGACATCACACAATAAGACACCAGATAACTAAGTTACTGTTCACAAAAATGGTATTATAATCAACAATTAAATTAACTCTACAGAGTACTTTGAAGACTACGATGAAGCATTAGGTAAAGAAGAGTAGATTGGCTGTGTGGTATTTTCTCCTTGTTTTACACTCTATAAATTCCTAAGTTTTTTTATAATAATTAATCTGATAATCACAAAAGTGTAGTTTTCTAGGTTTTTGATTTTTCTTAAACCAAAATAAAGCAGCTGATAGACACAGAAAAAGAAGAGGCCTGCCCCTATTCCTATCACTACCTGGTTTTGGCGTTTCCTAGGAATAAGATTCTGATTGTTCTTTTTTCTTGAACATTCTAAAATGTCTCCTGATCGCCCTAAAGCCACAGAACTTCAGAGGCTCAAAATGAAGTTTCTCTTTTGTGACAGAAGGTTCTGGATAAAGGTGAGATGCTGTCACGTTATTATTTTTATCATTATATTTGTATTCAGTTCTGCCTAGAATCTGACAATGATGTACAAAATTGGCACTAAGCAAATTTTTGTAGGATTGATGGATCTAGATAAGAAATAGGTGTTCTAAACTTAAAGGAGATAGTGCATCTTCATATGATCTGATTTCACTGTCTGACAGGCTAGAAAAACAAATGCTTGAGAAGGAACTGACTTGATCAGGATTCCACAGTTGGTGAGCTGTGGGGAAGTAGACTAAGTCCAGGATGTTCTCGGAACTCTCAATCTCATTTCTTCCCAATGCCCCCATCTTTCATCATTCAAATATTCCTATTCTTGTTTCAATACATCATACCAGCCTGTACCCTACCCTGTCACAAATTGTTCAACAATATGTGAATAAACAGAGATAGATTAGAACATGGGGGAAGTCAGCTTTTCTAGGGATGCTCAGTTTTTTTTTGTTTTTTTTTTTTTAAATGAGTGTCCTGCATGTGTATGTGCATCATGTACATGCAATGCTCACAGAGGTCAGAAGAGGGTGCTGGATCCCCAGGAACTGGAGTTACTGGATGATTATTAACAGCCATGTGGGTGCCAGGATGTGAACTTGGGCCCACTGCAAGAGCAGCCAGTGCTCAGGACTACTGAGCACCTCTCCAGCCCTGGGGTATTCAGTTTTTAAAAGCAGGTCTATTTGCACCAGTTCTTCTACCACATCAGAGGACCTTGGCGAGACAGCACCTCCTCCACATCCTGCTCAGTGTGGCAGACCCTGCCCAAGAAAGCTGACAGTTACATTTCCAGGAACCCTGAGCCATAGTTCAGCTCTGACACAGTTGTTAAACTGCAAAAACTTATCATGGAACAAGGAATATGTATGTTTTTTGTTGTTGTTGTTTTTTGGTTTTTTTTTTTTTAGACAGGGTCTCCCTGAAGCCCCAGCTGGCCTGGACCTCAAAGAGATCAGCCTGCCTCTGCCTCCCGAGTGCTGAGATTAAAGGAGTGTACCACCACGCCCGTTTTTGTTTTTGTTTTTGTTTTTCCTTTTTTAATTGCCTGGAACTCACAGAGATCCGCCTGCCTCTGCCTCCCGAGTGCTAAGACTAAAGGTGTGCACCACCACGCCTGGCTGGAACAAGGAATATTTTTTTTTAAGTTTAAAAAAAAAAAATCCAAAAATATATCGCTTCCTAGTTGTTATTTATTTCACTGCCATCTGCAATTTGAAGTCATGTTTTGGTTGATGTGTGTAGTAGATGCCACATGATAGCTTGCTTTGGTGCATCTCCTCCAATGCTGTGTTCGGTAGCTATGGAGACTGGGACGACAACCTTGTCAGCAGTATTTACACCACAGAAATCAGCAAGCAGTGCCACAACAATCACCACAAACCAGCGTTCTTACCCCAAGAGCCAGAAGTTAAGCACTTACCTGCAGATTTGACTTCAGATTCATTATCTGTCAGTGAGCTGGATCCTACTTCCCACCAGCTCACATTTCAGTCCCAACCTAAGTAGCCCGCAGAAGGGAACATGAGGGGACAGGTCTGCCCAGTTGTTTCCTGTGCATCTTGAAGCCAAAGTGGCATGCTCAGTTGAGGAGGTCTCCAAAAAAGAAACCCACAAAGCCCATTGGAAAGTGTGTGTTTTACGAGTGAAAAAAAGACAAAATCAGGTATGTGCGGCAACACACATCCTTTAATCCAAGCCTTTAGGAGACAGAAGCAGGAGGTTGTAAGATCTAGGCCAGCCTGGTCTACATAGTGAGTCCCAGGTCAACTGCGGCTATAGGGAGACTCTGTCTCAAAAAAACAAAAACAAACCAAAACAAAAAGGCACAAACCCTCCAGAATGAATACAGAGACACAAAAATGGGCACCTGGCCAGTGTGTCTCTCCTGATTCCTTCCCATGTCTCATTGTATACTATAGACAACTCCTGTTAGAGTAATGTTGTACCCAATAAACATTAGAATTGCAATGAAAATAGGCATTTTGATTTCACATCCACATTTAACTGCTTTTTAGATTCCCAACATGATAAATAGTAGTTTAAGAAATAAAACCAAGTTAATTAGTAACAGACACTTCCATAAAATCTGTAATTCTAAAAAGTACAAGAAATCGGTTCTGTTGTTTAAAAAACTATTCAGTCACCTTTTAAACTTGTTCAAACATGTTCAAAGCATTTGGATTTTATAATAAAGGGCTATTGTATAACCCTGAATTAAATATCAGTTTAAAACCCAAATCCTGAATCTAGCTATTTTGCTGAAAGATTTCTATATAAACAAATGGGTGAAAGAAAAGCTATTCCGAGAGCTCCACTGTTCATTTCCTTAAGGCATCATTTTAATTTCTAAAATTGATATTTGAAGTACAACACACCCAAGTTTAAGGCAGGTTTTGGCGGAACTGGCCTTGCAGGACTGTCTGGTCTTTACAGGCCGCACTTCTGACCCAAGACCTGGTGTCTGTTCTCTCTAATGAATTTGCTGTTGCTACCCTGGCCACCATACCCTTGTTCTTGCAAAAGTGAGACACAAAATGGAATTATACGGCAGGTAAAGAATGAGAAGGGTCAGGAAGAGGAGAAAATAATGCAATCAGATATCACAGGCTGTGCTGTGGAGCCTTCCCTTGTAAAGGGAAGCAGAGTGTGGTCAGAGAGGGACGGAAAATAAAGCAGGCATGTCCCCAGGTGTTTATTCTAAACTATTATTCAAAACTATTCTAGTTTTGAAATAGAAAGATCATGTTCATGATGAAAAGGCACCCTCATG